CTGTTGGTAAGCCTGAAGGGGTTGAACTTTATATGAGAATCAAACTCTTATTAAGTCAGCATTTTGGATGAACTTCTACTGTACTCTAAAGGTGAATTCTTGCTGCTTAATCTTAGTAGTTCTTTTATGCATTCAATTAAGCCTGGGAGAGTGTCTTTTAAATGTTTAATTGTGAAGTGCATTTGAAACAGCTTCTGTTTCATAACCCTTTTGTAGAACTTTCAAGCTCTATTTAGATAACAATATACATTGAATTGAATGGAAAACTTGACATACGTCTAGGCAGCTGTTCTCAACCTGTGGGTCGTGACCCCTGAAAATACATCCTGCATATCAGATATTTACATTATGATTCATAACAGTAGCAAAATTACAGTTATGAAGTAGCAACAAAAATAATTTTGTGGTTGAGGGTTACCACAACATAAGGAACTGTATTAAAGGGTCGCGGCATTAGGAAGATTAAGAACCACTGTAAAGTTTATTTTTCTATCTATGTCTGTGCCTTTTGTAACCTATACACTGAATTTTATCCTCACTAGTGTTTGAGTCTAGAAAATAGGAAATCTGTGCCCTATTCTAAGTCAGGGACATGACTGAGTCATGGTCACAACTTATGCAACTGAGGGGTAAGTTCCAAGCCTGGATGGATCAAATGAAAGCTTGGGGAATTTGCCATATTGTTTTTCACTCTTTGCTGATTAATGTGGATTTTAGTTACTCAGCTTCAGGATTGATGATTGATTACCTCTCCATCCCCCCTAATGAGAATAAAGTGGAGGTTTACAATCTAAAGTATGAATATGTAGTGTTTCAGGTGCCATAAGTTATCATATAACCCTTGGTTATAATATCTTAAAATAGATGTTAGCATGGTCATTTAGGGGACTATTTGTTGTTCTTACTGTATTTAATCTGTTTGTCATTTTAGTGGATTTAATGCTAAATATAACATTTTTTAAAATTGCCCTATCAGGATACTAATTAGTGGCCTGGATAAAACAAAATAGAATTTCAGTCATGCACTGTTTCTCTTTGCTACTCAGTCTGCTTTTAGGTTACTTTGAACAACTTTTATGTAAAAAGTTAATTTTACAATTAATCAAAACAAAACCCCTAAGGTGAAGATATAGTAAAATAAATAATATTTTTAGACATATCCATTAGATTATTCTTTTCATAAGGTACCAGGTACTTGAAAATAGGGCTAATGAGTCCTGTTGAGTATTTGTAGTTTATTTTTATGAAATTACTAGGGGCCTAGTGCACAAATTTGTGCACCTTGAAAGAAACTGTGGGCTGCTAGGCTGCGGTGGGTACAGGGGCAGGTCTCAGCACATCTTCTGTGCCCCAGCCTGGCCCTTCCTGGTCCCTTGTCTACCGGTAGCCCCGCTCACATCCACTGCTGGTGCTGGCCCCAATCACTCCACACTGTCAGCGGGTGCAAGCGGTGGCTGCTGCCCTGATCACCCCTCAGGAGCAGAGGGAGGTGGAGGAGCCTTCAGTGGGCGACTGAGGCAGCAGCCACCACTCATACCTGCTGACAGTGCCAAGCGATCAGGAATGGTGTTGGGACCTGGCTGCGGATGCGAGAAGCGATTCTAGCGCAGGCTGCAGGTGTGAGTGGGGCCGGCTCTGGCAGTCCCTGCAGTGGTGGCTGCCAGTCCCGATCGCCCCTCAAAAGCAGGGGGAGGCAGAGAAGCCCTGAGGAGCAATCAGGGCCTGCAGCCACCACGTGCACCCATTCATGGCGCTGAGTGATTGGGGTTAGCATCAAGCATTGGCAGCGAATATGAATGGCAGCTCTGGTGCGGACAGCAGGTGCAAGCACCTGGTGGGACCATGGTGCAGGAGCAAAGAATTTTCAGTAACCATCAAAGGCTTGCCCCAATGACAGTGACCAGTGCCCCACCTTGGTCTGGCATCCCCGCTCATCTGCTCCACCATCGTGCCACGGCCAATGCCTGACATGTTCTGTGCTCTGCCACCTGCTGCCTATCCCCACCATCTTCTGTGCATGCCCCCTGGTGTTCAGCACGTCATAGTGACCAGTTGTTTGGTTGTTCAGTTGTTTGGTTGTTCTGCCATTTGGTCTATTTGCATATTAGGGTTTTATATAGAGAGATTTTAATTGGACAATTTAAGCATTCCCTTCCTTCAGGATATCAAGAGGGTGTGATTAGTCCAATTTTATTCTAGTTTTTCAAAATAAAATATCTAGATTTCCAGATGTTTATCATTTTATGTAAGGTGGAACAAAGTTTTCTTTTTCTAAGTATTACCAATTAGCCAGTTATTTCCCATCAGCATTATCTATATCAGCTGTAAGGCTGAAGCAGTTTTACTCCTCAGGGGACATTTCACAATTGATACAACGGGGGCTGTTACTGGTATGCAGTTTGGAGGGAGGCAGGGATGCTACTAAACCTTCTAAATGTGCAGAGCAGCCCCCTTCCACCATAAAGATTTATCTGGCCCTAATGTTAATAATGCCCCAATTGAGAAAGCATGGTGTATATGACTTCATCTTTAAATTGTAAGATAATAAAAGCATCACCCATAAATTCAGCATCCATATTTATACGGCCGTGACACTATTTAGTCATTGACGGACTTATGAAAAAGATTTGAGGTGGCTGCACATGATACAACTGAGTTATTCCTCAAAGGTTGTTCAATTATAGGAAGTTATCAGTTTGTGTCTGCACTTTTTAAGTTACAGAAATGGCTTCACTTCTTGAGATTGAGTTCATGGAATTCTTTGTGTGTGTTTTTTCTTTCAAGCACTTAAATATAATTCCAATATTACGAAGGAGAAAATCATCATTATATCTGTGGCTGGACTAGTTCTCAGTATATTAGTCATTGTTGGAGCCGTTCTCTTCATCCCAGGTAAGATGTGCAGTTACTATGAGGGAAGTCATGGTTGATAAGGTTGAGAACATTGTGGGGGGTGGAACTCTAGGGGAGAATCCATTCCTTGCTTCTTCCGTTTTCTGGTGTTTGCTGGCAACCTGCAACTCCTTGGCTTGTGGCAGCGTAACTCCAATTCCACTCTTAAAACTCCTGTGCATCTCTCTTCCAAAGACACTTACCATTGAATTTAGGCCCCACCTCGTTAATCTAGGATAAGTTCCTTCTTTTAAGAACCTAAACTAATTCATATAATGTAATGGTCCACTTTGGCTCTATAAATTAACGTTCACAGCTTCCGGGAATTAGGAGGTAGGCTTATGTTTGGAGCCACCATTTAACCCACTGCAAAGGCAAACTTCATCAGGCCAGACATGGAAGTGGGAATGAAAATGGGAAACAAATCAATCTGAAACTGCATTTGCCTTTTGGAGGATGGGAATGGGATTCGGGAATAAGGGTATGCAGCACATGGAAAGAACAGCAGGGATAGGCTGGTGCTCAAAGTGTAGATGTAGAAAGCCTTGTTTTATTAACAGAATACAATATGGGTGTAATGTTTAGGAACAGAAATTTGGCAGTTCTCTTTGCAGCTGAAGTTAGTGAGGGTGTGGTGAGGAAAGGATGAATTAAGAAGACAGCTACAAAGAATAGCTATTTTGACTTTAGGGCAGATTGAATACAGCAAATGAAGGGATTGGTAAGAGGCTCCAAGGTAGTTAAGAAGGAGGAAAAGCCAATTGAAGGTTTTGACTTGTTGAGACTTAGATGTTGACATTTAGATGTCTTCAGTTTGGTCTTAAATAAAAAAATTGTCACTTATTTTGTGTGAGGTTTTAGAGGAAGCATTTATTTTTAAACGTTTTGCTGTTTATAAGAGTAGTATTGAGATGAATCCATTTAATAAATTAAGTACTTTATCTTTCCACAGAGTAGGAAGTATGTAGGAAAATATTTTAAATATTAATTTTATTTATCAATAGGTGAATATTCAACAAAGAGGACCACTGGACTTGGTTTAATTGTAGTTTCTACAGTAATACTAATATTACTTCAGATCTCTATGTTTTTTATAGGTACGTATTTATTGTTTTAGCATGATTGTGCCCTTTTTGATTTAAAAAGCAGCATTTTTTAATTGAAATAATTCTTGCATGTTTTTTTTATAATACAATAAAGGTTGGTTTATCTCCCTAGATATTCTTAGTGAAAATTTCCACCAAAATGGATTAATTTTAATGTTATATTAGGTTTTTAACATAGTTATTTTATAAAAAAAATGACTTTCAGAGACATATTTAATGCCAGCCAATGGATTTTTTAAATCATACTATCTAATTTCTTAATGATGATCTTCATATTCTTATTTCAGGCTTTGAACTTATAAGGAAATATTAAACATTCTCATTATATTCTTTTGCTAAAACTCTCTTTAAAAAACTAGTTATACAAAATAGGGTTGTAAATCATAAAGAGTTATTGCAAATATTAACATTGAGTTTTAAAAATTATACATTATGATTATCCAACCTATAACTAGTAACATTTTTCACTCCATTTTTGGGTTAAATCACTAAATATTTTTAATATTAAAGAATCTATTTTTTCCATTAGCACATTTAACTCTTGGTATGAGAGCCTATCTCTAGGTTGTTATATATTAAGATGGTATTAATTTGTTCTAAAACCACAATTAGGGGTTATGATGTCTACAATGGCAAGCTTGCACAGTGGTTCTCCGCCAGAGTGATTTTGTGTGCACGTGGTGAGACCCTGCTAATAGCCACTCCTATGGTAAAATACCCATGTGTGGTAAAAGCAGCATTGTTCTAAGATTTGGGGTAAAAACTGCCAATGCAGCTCAGCTCCCTGCAGAAATGAAAGGCTGCTGAGGGTGTGAATGTGGAGCTGACGCCTGGAGTGGAGAGAGATGGCTTAGGTCACTGGGAAAGCAGCCACCACCTGACAGAGTCAGTCTTCGGTCCTAGGATACTGACCTTGACTGTACGAAATACAAATGGAAGTGATTGCTTCTTAAACATGTGCAACATGCTTTTTTTTTTTTTTTTCCTTGAAGCTCCAGCTAAAAGGAAGCTCCCCATCAGCATCATCTTATTGTTCATTCAGGTGCTGGGCCTTTTGATCTCTGTGGTTGGACTAAGCCTCTGTGTCTCAGGTGAGGGTCACAATCTATTCTAGACCCAATTTCTCTCTTACCAGTAATTTCTCTTAGAAAAAAAGATCTTTTTCTCTTTCCTTTTCTTTGTCTTTCTTATTCTGTTTTAAATACATGGACTTTATTTGTGATAGCATTTTAGGCTCACAGCAAAATGGAGTGGAAAATACAGAATCCCCCTCTATCCCATTTACTCACAGCCTCCTCCTCTATCAACATCTCCCACCAAGTAGTACATTTGTTACAGTCTGTTGAACCAACATTGGCACAACATTATCACCCAAAGTCCATCGTTTGTATAAGGGTTCAGTCTTGGTGTTGTATGGTCTATGATTTTGATAAATGTATAATGACATGGACCATAATCATAGAATATCATATAGAAAAGTTTACCTGCCGCCAAAATCCTTTGTGCTCTGCCCATTCATCCTCCCTATTCTGAAACCCTGGCAACCACCGATCATTTTACTGCCTCAATAGTTTTGCATTTTTCTACGTGTCTTATACTTGAAATCATACAGTATCTAGCTTTTTCAAATTGGCTACTTTCCCTTAGTAGTGTGCATTTAAGGTTCCTCCGTGTCTTTGGGTGGCTTGATAACTTATTTACTTTTTAGCACTGAATAATATTCAGTTGTGTGAATGGACGATTGTTTATCCATTCACCTATTGAGGGACATCTTGGTTGCTTTCCCCGCAGGGAAAGGTATTGATTTGTTATAAAATCACAAATCTAGACGCACAATATAGAAGTGCATGTTTTTGTATGGACATACTTTTTCAACCTCATTTGGGCAAACACTAAGGCGTGCAATTGCTAGATTGTATGTTAAGAATATCTCTAGTTTTGTAGCAAATTACCAACTGTCTTCCAAAGTGGCTGCACCATTTTGCATTCCCACCAGCAATGAATGAACACTTCTGTTGCTCTACATTCATGCCAGGTTTTAGTGTTGTGAGCTTTTCATTTTTTTTCACTCATTTTTCCCCTACTGAGGTCAGTGCTTTCCACATTGGCTGATTGTTTAGTGGCCAAACTGCCACGCCTGTATTCATGGATGAGCTTTTAAAAGAACCATTTGGGTGGAAGTTTAGGCTTCACAGACTATTTCCCTTTAGTCTAGACTTGATAAGGTACATGCTATGCAACCAACGGCTCTTCTTTCTGAACAGGTAAAGGAATTTGGAATCATTGCACTGAGTTAATAATGGGTATACAAATGTAGGTAATTTTTGTTTCTTTTTAAAAATATATTCTTATTGATTTCAGAGAGAAAGGGAGATGGGGAGAAAGATAAAAAATATAATTAGAAACAATCACTGATTGGGTGCCTCTGGCATGCCCCCTACTAGGGATTAAGCCCACAAACCAGGCTTTGCTCTGATCAGGAATTGAACTATGACTTCTTGGTTCATAGGTTGATGCTCAACCACTGAGCTACACAGGCTAGGCAGTAATTTTTGTTTCTTGAAAACGAGAAAAATAATTACTCTTCCTAAAACTTAATGTTATTTCCGTTATTGTTTCTTTTAAGAAGTTCAGTTATTTCATGTGAATTTCTAACATAAAATTTTATTTGTTTTTTCAGAGTGCATCCCAGTGCATGATTCTCTTCTGATTTCAGGCTTGGGTATTACAGCCTTAGTGGCATTACTTGGATTAGTTTATATATTTGTTGGTAAGTCAACTTTGTTTTTGTTAGTCTCTGCCAAGAATTCCAAATCCTATATAATAAGAGAGAAACTTGCAAATGAACCATCCTCCTACCACAAGGATGGCTGCACCCACAGCTGAGGCCGAGTTCCCATAATGAGCCTTAAGGAGCAATGAGCAGGGATCTGAGGCCTCGTGCCCCCCCCCCCCCCATACCCACAGCACCACCACATTGGGGCTTGACAGGGTACCTCAGACTGCACCTTCCACCCTGGTACCAGGCCAGGGGACTTCAGGCCGCGCCCCCCGCCCAGCGCCAGGCCGGGGGAACTGAGGCCATGCCCCCCACCCAGCGGGAATTGACAGGGGATGTCAAGGTGCGCCCCCCACCCTGGTGCTGGGCTGGAGGACCTCAGGCCGTGCCCCCCACCCCAACACCAGGCCAGGGGACCTCAGGCCACACACCCCCGCCCAGCAGGGCTTGACGGGAGACCCTCAGGCCGCAAACCCCACCCCAGCACCAGGTCGGGGGACTTCAGGCCGCTCCCTCTGCCCCGGCCAGGGCTGAGGGACCTGAGGCTGCACCCCCCTGGCCTGGCGGTGCTTGTCAAGGGTGAAACCGGAAGGGTCTGGATCTAGCCCAATGTGGGGGGTGCTGGCTGGGTCTGGGTCTCATGTCATTTTGAGGCACATGTGGGTGGATGGGGACTTGACTCTGGGTCCCATGGCGCACCCCAGACTCTGACAGGAGGAAGATTTTCATATACATTTTACTAATTTTCTTTCATCTCTGACACTTCTATTATAGAGAAAGGGCAAATAGCAATATTAAAATATTTCCTCTAATTAATCGCCTTTTAATGTGCACAAATTTCGTGCACCAGGCCACTAGTATATTATAATTTGGAAAGACTTTTGGTTGGTTCTTACAACTTAGGATCAAGAAAATGTATTCGTAACTAATGAAATACTGAAACATTTAGAAAATAAACTAGTTTAAAAGAAAATGGCTGTATGTTTTAGAATGTATAAACCTTTTTATGCTATGGAAAAGGAGAATTGGTTGAGGATTGATTTTAATAAATAGAAAATAATTGTTTTTTTCATGCTTACCCTCTTGGTAAGCATGAATATATATAAACTTAAGATAATAATAATGTAATTATCTTAAGTTTTACATGTCTCCTTTTTCCCCATTTGACCTCCCCTCCAACCATTCCCATCCTGGGCAAGCCCTTACAGCCCCAGTGTCTGTGTCCATTGGTTATGCTAATATGCATGCATACAAGTCCTTTGATTGCTCTCTAGCCCCACCTGCCACCTCCCCTGCCATTTGTCTCTGGGTCTGTTTTTGTTCATCAGATTATGTTGATCATTATATCCCACATATGAATGAGAACATGTGATATTTATTTTTCTCCAACTGGCTTATTTCGCTTAGCATAACGCTCTCCAGTTCTATCTGTGCTGTTGCAAATGGTAAAAGTTCCTTCTCTTTTATAGTAGTGTAGTATTCCATAGTGTAGATGTACCACATTTTTTAATCAACTCATCTACTGATGGGCACTTAGGCTATTTCCAGATCTTAGCTATGGTGAATTGTGCTGCTATGAACATATGGGTGCATATATCCTTTCTGATTGGTGTTTCTGGTTTCTTGGGATATAGTCCTAGAAGTGGGATTACTGAGTCAAATGGGAGTTCCATTTTTAACTTTTTGAGGAAACTCCATACTGTCTTCCATAGTAGCTGCACCAGTCTGCATTCCCACCAGCAGTGCATGAGAGTTACTTTTTTTTCCCACATCCTCATCAGCACTTGTCTTTTGTTGATTTGTTGATGATAGCCATTCTGACAGGTGTGAGATGATACCTCATTGTTGTTTTGATTTGCATCTCTTGGATGATTAGTGATTTTGAGTATTTTTTCATATGTTTCTCGGCCTTCTGTATGTCCTTTTTCATAAAGTATCTACTTAAGTCCTTTGCCCATTTTTTGGTTGGATTGTTTATCTTCCTTTTGTTAAGTTGTATGAGTTCTCCGTAAATTTTGGAGAGTTAACCGTCATCTGAAAAGAGCATTGGCAAATATGTTCTCCCATGCAGTGGGCTTTCTTGTTGTTTTGTTGATTGTTTCTTTTGCTGTGCAGAAGCTTTTTATTTTGATGTAGTCCCATTTGTTTATTTTCTCCTTAGTCCATTGTCCTAGGAGCTGTGTCAATAAAGATATTGCTATGATGTACGTCTGCTATTTTGCTGCCTATGGAGTCTTGTAGGATATCTATGGTTATATTGTCTTACTTTTAGGTTCTTTAGCCATTTTGAGTTTGGTTTTGTGTATGGTGTTAGTTGGTGATCTAGTTTCATTTTATTGCATGTATCTGACCAAATTTCCCAGCACCATTTATTGAAGAGACTGTCATGACTCCATTGTATGCTCTTGCCTCCTTTGTCAAATATTAATTGAGCATAATGGCTTTGGTCAATTTCTGGGTTCTTTGTTCTGTTCCATTGGCCTATATGTCTGTTCTTGTGCCAGTACCAGGCAGTTTTGAGATCCATGGCTTGGTAATGTAGCTTGTTATCTGGTACTGTGATCTCTTCAACTTTGGTCTTCTTTCTCAGAATTGCTGCGGCTATTTGTTTTGTTATTTTATTCCAGATGAATTTTTGGAGAGTTTGTTCTAGATCTTTGAGATATTCTGTTATTATTTTAATGGGGATTGTGTTGAATCTGTAGATTGATTTGGGTAGTATGGGCATTTTAATGATGTTGATTCTACCAATCCATGAACATGGTATATTCTTCCATTTGTTTATGTCTTCCTCTATCTTTTTTCAATGTCTTATAGTTTTCCAAGTACAGGTCTTTCACCTTCTTAGTTAAGTTTATTCCTAGATATCTTAATTTTTTTGGTGCAATGGTAAGTGGGATTTTTTTTTTTTTTTTTTTTTTTTTTAGTTTCTCTTTCTTTGATTTCATTATCCTGTATAATAAAAGCTCAGCAACAGAAATGGTGGAATGACCAGAATGACCAGAGACCAGAATACCACAGTCCCTCACTGTGGCTGGCCCTGCACCCAGGGAGAGGTTAGGGGCAATCGGGTAGGCAGGCAGAGTGGTTAGGGGCGATCAGGCAGGCAGATGAGCAGTTAGGAGACAGTGGTCCTGGATTGTGAGAGGTATGTTTGACTGCCAGTTTAGGCTTGAACTGACAGTCAGACATACCCCAAAAGGTTTCAGATTGTGAGAGGGTGCAGGCCGGGGGCTAAGGGACCCCCTTCCCCCATGCACAAATTTTGTGAACCGGGCCTCTAGTTGGTGTATAAAAAGGCCATAGATTTCTGGGTATTAATTTTGTATCCTGCTACATAGCTGAATTCATTTATTAGGTCTAGTAGTTTTTTGATGGAGTCTTTGGGGTTTTCTATGTATAATATCATGTAATCTGTGAATAAGGACAGTTTTACTTCTTCTTTTCCAATTTTGATACCTTTTATTTCTTCTTCTTGTCTGATTGCTATGGCTAGCACTTCCAGTACTATGTCAAACAGGAGATGTGAATGTGGGCATCCCTGTCTTCTTCCCGTTCTTAGGAGAAGTGAGTTTAGTTTTTGCCCATTGAGTATGATGTTGGCTGTAGGTTTGTCATATAAGGTTTTTATTATGTTGAGGTATGATCCCTCTATTCCATCTTTGGCTGAGAGATTTTGTCAAGAAAGGGTGTTAGATTTTGCCAAATGCTTTTTCTGCATCAATTGATATGACTATGTGGTTTTGTCTCTCAATTTCTTTAGTGATTTGTGGATATTGTACCATCCTTGCATCCCCAGAATAATTTGCACTTGGTCATGGTGTATGATCTTTCTACTTTAATGCTGAATCTGATTTGCTAGAATTTTGTTGAGGATTTTAGCATCTATGTTCATCAAGGATATTGGCCTGTAGTTCTCTTTTTTGTGTGATGTCTTTATCTGGTTTTGGAATTAGTATAATGTTGTCTTCATAGAGCTTGGAAGTATGCCTTCCTCTTGAATTTTTTGGAATAGTTTGAGGAGGATAGGTTTTAGTTCTTCTTTGAATGGTTGGTAGAATTCCCCTGTAAAGCCATCCAGACCAGGGCTTTTGTTTGCTGGAAGATTTTTGATCACTGCTTCAATTTCCTTGGTGGTATCAGCCTATTCAGGTTTTTTTATTCTTCCTGATTGAGTTTTGAGAGCTTGTATTTTTCTAAGAATATGTCCATTTCATCTAAGTTGTCCATTTTGTTTAAATAGAGTTGTCCATAGTACTTTTTCATAATTCTTTGTATTTATGTGGGATCGGTTGTTGCTTCCCCTCTTTCATTTCTGATTTTGTTTATTTGGGTCCTCTCTCTTTGCTTCTTGGTGAGCCTGGCTATGTTTATCCTTTCTGAGAACCAGCTATTGGTTTTGTTGATTTTTTTTTTTTATGTCTATGTTTTTTATTTCTGCTCTAATCTTTATTATTTCCTTTCTTCTGCTTAGGCTGGGATTTTCCTGTTGCTCTCTTTCTGTCTCTTTAAGTTATAGGGTTAGATAATTTATTACCATTTTTTCTTGTTTTTTGAGGTAGGCCTATAGAGCGGTGAACTTCCCTCTCAACACTGCTTTCACTGTGTCCCATAGATTTTGGATTGTTGTGTTTTCATTGTCATTTGTTGCCATGATGCTTTTTATTACTTCCTTGATCTCTTTGGTAACCCAATCATTGTTTAATAGCATGCTATTTAGCCTCCAAATGTTGGATTTTTTTCATTGTTTTTATTGTAGTTGATTTCTAATTTTATGCCATTGTGATCTGAGGAGATGCTTCATATGATTTCTACTGTCTTGAATTTGAAGAGACTTTGCCTGTGAACCAATACATGGTCTATCTTTGAAAATGTCCAATGTGCACTTGAGAAGAACATAAAGGGTGTCTCAAAATCCATGCAAGATTTGAATTTTACTCCATGTGTGCCGTAAAGTGTTGCCAACAACAACAACAAAATAGCGTGACAGC